TGGGCCCGTGTGTCCCTTAGCAGTGCATGGGCTCTGGGACTTGGTCCTGGAGAAGAAGGGAGGAAACGCCATGACACCTACAGGCGCAGACAGAGGCTTTCCTCGACCCGCTCCCTCCTCTGCTGCTGGAACCGCCTGACTGTGGCTGGAGAAGAGCCGCAGAGGGTGTGTGGTGGAGATGTGAGGCTCATACTAATTAATGCACATGCTGTGGGCTCCTTCCTTTCCTCCTTCCCTTTCAAGTAAGCTGGCATGTTTGACCAACACCAGATTTGCTTCCTGGAAGTTTTTTATTTTGTTGTTCTGAACAAGGACCCTAATTCTTCTTTGGAATAAGAGAACCTCTCTGTTGGGTATACAGCGTTCAGTGGGCCTCTGAAAACACAAACCCCACTCCAGTCTCCAGACTTGTTGACACAGAAAACTGAACGTGTGGCCGCCTAGAGTCGGAAGCCCAATCCGGGCATTGTTTACTGCAGTCTGCCCTGGCCTCCCACGCCCACCGCCAGCCACCACACACACACCTGAGAAGAGAACCTTCCTTTGGGTGGCCACGGGCGCAGGTCACACTCACTGCTGAGGGTGGGCATGTTTCATGTGATAACGTGGCCTAATAGCACAGTTGATAAAATAACCAGGGTGTCCGGCAAGCAGAGAACTCGCTGTGGTGGTTGTGCCAGGTCCTGCCCTAGCCACTGGGCCATCCGGGTGCCTGGTGGGAACAAACCACCCAGCGGGGAGTCCCTCTCCTCTCCTGGGTCTGATGTATTGGTGCCTTCTCAGCCCTAATGAGCCTCACTTTGTACAGTGAATTTGCTGAGACATCAAAAAGTATTTAAAAGAAAGTTTCCTGCTTTTTCCTAATGAGCAAGGTGAGGATTTATAGTGTGTGGGGAGGGAGACTGGGTGTGAGGGCTGACACAGAGTGAGTCTATTTAACATACGGTAGCTTAAGCTCCCGGCTGCATTTGGGGGGCTCAGAGCGCTGGGTTGTGGGAGTATAGAGACATGCAGTTAGGGAGTGAAAAAACGCCATTTGGTTCGGAGCAGATGGCTGGCTAGGGGGCTGATGGCGTCTAAAGGCGTGTCATCCCCTTCAGCCCGAGTCCCCAAGGGCTCCCCTTGTCTTCCCAATCAATGAAAATTAAAGTGCAAAGAAAGGGTGAATAGTTGGACCTCGAGTCTCTCCTTTGTTCATCTCAGCCACTGGTGTGCAGGAGTTAAACTACAACAGGCTCCCATAGAAACACCAAGTTAAACAGTCTCCTCAGCTCAGCTTCCAAAGGCAGGGGGAGCCCACGTGGAGTGGGAGGAGGAGGAGGAGGAGGAGGAGAGAGAAGGGGAAGAAGAAAGGAGGAAAGAAGAGCAGGCGAGGAGGAAGGAGAAAGACCCGTTCTGCTTGATTTCCCCGATACAGAATCGCGTGGCATAAATTAAGTGGGAAAAGAATGAACGCTTTGGGCAGGATTCTGATGGATTTTACGATGCCTTTCAGTTCCGCTTTGCTGTTGTAATCGAGAAATCTGTGCCGTGTCAATTTAACAAATACTTGGTGCTGAGGGGGGTTTGTTAAAGATTTAGGGCAAGTCCCCCCCCTTCCAAGGTTTAAGCCCTTGCGCGTGGGACATATTTCCAGTTTTCTAAACTGCATTCAAACGAGCCTGTTTCCTATTCCATTTTCTAATTAGAAGGTTCCTGATATTTCATTTCTGACGGCGTCTACTCCCAGCCTCTGAAACAGAGAGCATTCAGAGTCCACACTCCTCTTCCTCTTGTCTCTCCTGCTCCTGGGAGCCTCCCCCCCCCCCCCCCCCCCCTGCCCCCACAAAAAGGCATACCCACACACACCCCACACCCCCC